GAACTACAAATATAACCCTACTAAAACAAAAATTAAATTCCTAGGAAACAAGAAATAAGAAATTCCAATCTTTAAGGAAAAGAAATCCTAATCTTGATTGGATTCTTAGACTTCTTCAATTTCTTGAAATTCTTGGGCCTCAATTGGACTAAGGCTAATTAGTGTAAGCATTTTAAATTCATGGCCCAATTCTCTAAATCCATTGGCACCTTCATGAGCCCAACAAGCCTCCATTGTTGNATTGTAGAAAACATGGCCTCTATATGTTCATCACCACTTTAGCCAAGGTTGACTAACCAAACTTCAACAGCAAAAAAATAGTTATTGTCCAATAAAAAAAATAGCTCTTACCACAAATCTTCAAGATGCTGTGTGGCATTATTTTGGGTGGAACTTGCAGGGGGCAGTTCATAACTATCTCATAAACACACAATAGCCGATATTGCAGCATCAAGTAGTTTCATCAGGTCCAGACTATTGCAGCATCGCACTTAAAATGGAATCGTAATGTGTTTTTAGACCTCCAACCCTCTTCCTCAGTCCCATATTTTTCTGTTATTACCTCCATCCAGAAAAGTGTGCTCCTTAATCCCGAACCTCCATATCCACTTTCCTAATAAAGCATGGTGGAAACAAGGCAAATTTTCACCCCAAGGCCTCCCCATCTCTTTGGGGGGCGTGATGATCTCCCAACTTACTAAATGGAACTTCCTATCCCCATTTGTTGAGTCCCATATGAACTTCCAATGGAGTCTTTCCAATTCTCCAGTAAGCTAGCTGGTGCCCCTGGTATTAAAAGAGTATGTGAGAGTGCTAAAAAGTGTGCTTTTAATTAACACTTCCTTCCACCTTTTGAAAAGTATATGTTCTACCAACCAGCTACTTTCCATGTTGCTTGGTCTTTATCGGAAGCATCCAACAGTAAGCCAAGGTAAACTACTTCCACATTGGATTCCAAAAAGAAGCCAATGAAGACTTGGCAAATTGATTCTGATGGTGGTGCTGAGACAGGTTCGAATGTCATGAAAGTAGGGGTTTGTGTTAATGTTGGTATTCTCCCTGACATTGTATGCTAGAGGGTGCCTATTTCATGTTGTTTGACCACCCAAAAAAAAAGACTTAAAAAAAAAAAAGAATCCTACACAGAGGAGCAATTAAGTTATCACTATCGAATATTTTCCGAGTTGTGTTTTGGGTAAGCTTATAAGCATCATTTGGCTTATCTAAGCATTTGGTAAACGTTAGTTTAATCAAGATTTTACTGCTTTATCCTTGATATTCCTTTTAATTCTCAAATACCCAAAACAAAATCCTTAACTGCCTCCCCAATCCACATACATCATTCCTCTTTTTCACAAAGATCTACCAAATTTATAATTTTTTTGAGACGTTGAAGGGTATTTGAGCAATTTTAACAAAAGAATAGCTTATCAGCACCTTTTTTACCAAACATATCAATTGTTTGTTATCAGTTTTAGTATTCCTATCCAAATACCCCAACTGCTAAAAGTGCTTATCAACATTTAATACTCATCAGCTATTTACAACAAGCTAACCCAAACGGGCTTGAGCCAGTAATTCGCTCACAATTCACAAAAATCCATGCATTATATTTACATCAGTTCAATTATTTATCTACAAAGAGGCTGAATGTAACTAGATCTATGCTTACTGTTTGCAAACAAGAGAGAGTACACTACTTGGATGGCAGAATTAAGAGAAACAATGAAAAGGGGACATAGGGAAAGAGATAAAAGGAACTAACTTTTCACGGAAATAGGCGAATGGGGCAAGAAGAGAAATAGCAAGAAGGTCCCGATACAAACAGAAGACAATTTCATTCATGCCCACATTTAGAGCCACCTTTGTAATCACATGGTACCCAGCATTGAACAGTTGTACCATAGCCATTGTACCATGGGCTTTCCATATCTCAGCCCCATTTCCTACTGCAACTGCTGCCATTTTGTTCCTCTCATCCACTCCACAGTCACCCACCCCCACCCCCCATATATTTAGTCACCAAAACGTAATATTGGGTAGGTGGTGATGGGGTAGGTGTATCTTAACTATAAAGACTAAAAGAATACGGCAATAGGACAAAAGGAGAGAACTTGTTGCAGGAACTTCACGTTGTTCTACTGAGTTTGTCTTTTGGTCACAAAACACTGAGGAAGCTTATGGACCAAATTTTTGGAATATCTTTCAACCAATTTGAGGTTTAAGCTTTCTCACATACACATATGTGTGTGTTTTCTCCTTATGTGTCACTTGTCTAGCATGGGTCCAGAACTATATGGGATAAGCCATATTTTTCTTCTTGTTGGGAGAACAAGCAATACAAACCACGGCTCGGGTGTTTCATACTGAAAAATCACACCAAATAGAAAATCGAACCAAACTTATTTGATAAATCAAATTTTCTTTTGGTTTTATATGATTTTGGTATTAGATTTGAAAGGATAAAAGGATAAATTTATCCTGGACTATGCAATATGGTGTATATGTGTACTCCATTAATAGTGGAGTTAATCGTGCCCTTGTCATTACAAAAGTGCATTATATTTGCCTTTATTGACTAACAGAATTGATTAGTACAATTTGTTGTCACGTGTCCAAATTTAATAACGGAAAAAATGGCCAAATTTACCCATAAATTATGCGAAATGGTCTATATATGTTGTGAATTCTCATGTTTTATATGTACATCAAACAATTTAATTGTCTACCTAAAAAGAATCTTCGACGAGTTCTTCATTATATTTAAGTCTTATCCACCATAGACGAGCTGTACCAAAGCCATTGCAGCATGGGCTTTCCGTATCTCACCTCCATTTCCTACTGTCATCTTGTTCATTTCATCCACACTACACCTACCCACCCCTTATATGAATAGAGTCAATAAAGAGTAATAATGGGGGAGTAGGTGATTCTTGATTATTATTATAGAGATTAAAAAAATATATATGAGAAAAGGAGTTAACTTTGTTTCAGGAACCTCACGTTTTTTGTGTTTTCTTGGTTTTTCGGTCACAAGAAACTGAGAAAGCTTTGGACAGTATTTTGGAGTTGATCTTTCTGACGAATTTGATGTTTAAGCTTTTCCCACATAAACAGTCTGTGTCTTCTCCTTTTCTGAAAGTAAAAAGGCTAAAAATGGCAAATTAATTGATGGAGTTTAGAGTTACTTTTTCTAATCCTTCAGAAATTTCTAAAACGCATCACTTCTACTGCATTAGTATGAGTCATATCATTGTTTTTGTTTTTTTAATCTAGTACCCGTATTGGGTTCTGATTAGTTCAAATTCGCATAGCATAAAATTCACCAAAAGAAATAGCTCAAATTCACTAAAAGAAATAGCACTCCCTATCAAATTCAAAACTCAAACCCGAGGAGATTAAGCATGAAACGATCATATTCATCTCACCAAACGATAAGTACGATGTATGTCAGCCTACAATAACTCTCCTCCTTTATCTGGCTGAGAATCAATTACACTGTGAAACTCAAAGTCGAGTTTTTGCTGACACAAAGATAACAAATTTAGCAAGTAGTGTTTCCTAACAATAAAAGAAGTAATGAAGAATATGAATCAAAAATTGGAAAAAAGAGTGTCAAAAATACAAATACTAGATGTACCTTTGATACAAAAATGATGTATTACATATTACACTTTTGACTCACTCATTGCAATATCAAATTCCCAAAATTGTTCTTATCTGATCAGGTGGATGTCTAGCCAGTGATTTTGGATCTGGGTAGCCACTATCAGGGTCCATGATAGCCCTGTAAATAAGCTCGTAGGCTTCAGCAAGTGACCTAGCTACCTGAACACTAGTTTCTGATCGCAATCTTGGAACTTGCATCTGCTCAAATTCAGGAATGGCGGTTTCACTGCCCAAAATGAGCCCAAAGAAAGCCTTCAAACTCTCAGCAACAGACACCGGAGCTGTATCCTCTTCTTCTGCTAACGCTTGCCTAGCTATGGAGTTACCAGATTCATTAATTTCTAATGACTTGCGGAAGTGTGACATCTTATTCAATAAACCACATCTTCTTAGAATAGCATCGACTTCTTTTTCCACAAGAGCATTTATGTGATTGTCTATCATCACTCCGAGCTTCTTCACATAGCCACTTGCAACTTCATGTCCTAAAAGTGGTTGCTGAATGGCACATAAGCAGTTGATGAGGAAAATTTTGGCCGGAGTTTCACTGGTCTGCAAAAACAAAACAGTAGGTTAACGCTAGTGATAGTAGATAACTGCACCATCTCATATAATATCACTATATTATAACATGCACCATCTCATATAATTTCACTATATTATAACGACATATCAATCAATAGTTTACTCATGATCGCGAACATGGAATAAACACAAAATCAACATTTCGGTCAATTATCTAATACATATATCCATGGTGATCTATGCACCTAGTATAAGGTGGTCCAGCAAATCTCTCTGAAAAATAGTATTGTTTGAGTAAAATGTCCCAAATCCAACCAAACACAGCTTGGAAAGTGTCGGTAGGATTCTTCCATTTCTTGTAGTTTCTCTTCTTGCTTTCTTACCTTTTATTGGGGGAGAGGGAAGGGGCACGAAATTTCACAAGCCAAGGTTGCAACACAAAAGGCCTAATTGGACTTTGGAATTCAAGGGGAAACAAGACCATAAATACCTGTGGTAGAGATGCTGAACTGTTGCCATCCAAAAGAGCATCCATAGATGACCTGCGGTGTTGACTTGGATCAGAAGTAATTCTATTCCTTCTGGAGGAGTGTATGGCACCCTTTGACTTGTGCGCCTCTGCTGCTTGCTCACACATCTGCATGGAAGATAAGATAGTAAACATAGAGAAGCATAATAAAACCGATTTGGCAATACTGCAGTAAAATCAGCAATGATGCCATTTTCAGCCTATCTCATTCTCACGTCAAGAAGCTCAAATCAAACAATCTTAAAATTCTGAAATGTCACTCAAACAGGAGAATGGAATCAACAATGCATTCTACTTTATACGATCTAAATAGTTGATGTACTCTAGTTTTCCATATAAACAAACAAATTAAATTTCCCAGACCTATTCCTTTTTACTTTAAACACAGCTAACAACCAGAGATAATCTGTACTAGTAATATGGTCTTGCAATTTCGGAACAAACCAGTACCCCCGCGTTACAAAGTTCAAGAGAAACAGATAGACTGCACAAGAAAAACAAGAATAGTCCTAATAAGAGAACATGTTCATTTTTTTTCTTTCAACATCAGACGATGTTGACATGCATTTAACATGACTTTATATTTGGTATTTACTCTAATGGAAAGGCAAGTCCATCACATGTGAATAAGTTTTCTTTGTTTCGCCAAATTTTTGTTAACAATTATTTATTTTTATTTTTAAAAAATCAATGTCATTCCCATAACAACAACAGCAGACCAGTGTATTTACATAAGTGGGGTCTGGGGAGGGTAAGATGTACGCAGCCTTACCCCTACCCTGGAAGGGCAGAGAGATTGGTTCCGGTAGACCCTCGGCTAAAGAAAAGATGGAAGAAGCACTGCTAGCAAGTAATAACAATACAGGATTTTTAGAAAACTAAATCCAAGACAGTAAAAGAGAAGATGAAAGAAGTACTGATAGCAAGTAATAAAAGTGCAAGATATATAGTGATAGCAAACAAAGGGGGTATTGATGGCAAGTAATAACAGTACAATATCCTTCCCATAAAATAAAAAGAAATCATAAACAGCCGATGTCAATTGTTAGAAGTCACGACTCACATCATAGTCATTTTAACTGGTACTTTATATCAGTGTTAGAAAAAGCGGTCGCTTCCTCGCTTAAAGCGAGAAGCGAAGCGACCCCTTCCTCGCTTCTGCCATGTGAAGCAACTCAGGTAGGAAAAAGCGACCGCTTCCCACTAAAAAGCGAGAAGCGACCAAGGGAAGCGAAGCGACCTAAGCGAGCGCTTCTTTGTTTTAAACAGCTGCCAGCCTATTTAATTAAAAAAGAAGGGTTTTCAGTGTTCTTTTATCAAACACAACCAGCAGAGCATCTGAGAGTCTCTGCGACTAGGGTTCTTCAACAGAGATTCCAGCAACAGGTATGTGATGATTTTCTCTTCTTCTGATTTCTTCTCTTCTTCTTCTGACTTCTTCTCTTCTTCTTCTTCTTCTTTTTTTTCTTCTGACTTCTTCTTCTTCTCCTCTTTCACTGTTTCAACGTCCAAATAGTAGCGAATTGCTGGCGAATTTTTTTTTACCTTCAGTTCTTTCCCAGAATCCAGCAACAGAATTTTTTTTACCTTCAGTTCTTCTTTCACAGTTTCTTAGTTTTTATTGCCTTTTCTTATGTGTTGTGTAGTTGTTCTTTTAATGGAACCAAAAGAAGAACAGTTTCTTAGTTTTTACTGCCTTTTCTTATGTGTTATGTAGTTGTTCTTTTAATGGAACCAAAAGAAGATAGGAAAGACCCTGCTTGGGATTACTCTACAAGAGTTAGCGAGACCAACAAGATGACAATTAGACGTCTTTTTTGTGACAAGATTTCAAATGGGGGAATCTATCGTCAAAAAGCGCATCTAATCGATGGTGATCCAACTGTCGCATCTCGCTTGACAATCTTGTAGAAGAATAGGATGCTCATTTTGTGCTTTAATTGATGCTACACTTTAGTTTATACATTGAAGTATTGAACATTGCTTACAGTTACATGTGTTGTCGATGCAGTATTTATTTTAATATATATTTTTTTAAATTCCGCTTCACTTCAAAAAAGCGAGCGCTTCGCTTCTCGCTTTAAGCGAAATGGGGGTTGTCGTTTTTCCTCGCTTCACGCTATTTTTAACACTGCTTTATATTTCACAGGTACCTATAAGTATCTTAGGACATTTGAACCTCATGTTGCAATAAACTAGTCCTGCACAGTTGGCGTTAGATTAATAGAATCTAGATGATTCATGCTAATTATTCAACAACAAATTGTTAGAGTTAAATTCCTGTTTCTAGATATTTATGAATCTTTTTCATGGGTTCTCTGCTCTACTGCACACAACAAAATAGGATTTCTTTTGGGTCAGACAGAACTACTTGCCAACCATGTTTTGACTAATCTACTCAGAGACTGGAAACAGGGGTAAGCACAAACTAATGCTACCGAATTCAAGCAAAGCTGATTCTCCGGTACTCTAGCAATCCCCCAAGGTCAGATAGTTGGCCTGTATAACTCTAAGGTCTTCCATTAGAAAAATGCTAAAAATTTGTTTGAACAAGACCAAGATGTATAATCAACATGTGTCTAGGTGCTTAAGGCTTAAGCATATATAATAGAATTTGATGAATAACAACCTTTGCTCATTCAAAGATAAATATGTAATTAACAATATATTATTATCTTTTCGGAAGGACCAAGCATTTCTTGAGAGAAGTTGAGACTTGCATTCAACATTGTATAATGAAAAATCCTAAACGAGTAACACTTAAAGAAAGCACATAGGAAATTCCAGATTAGGGCTAAAGTGTGAGCTTGGATAGCAGAATCCTTCCATGTCTTTCCTATTAAGTGCACCAACCGAATTAAGAGGGTCATGCAATATTTACTTATTTAACACAACGGATGCAAAGATATGTGGTGACATAAGAATTTACAAGATAAGAAATGTCACATTTGCAAGAAGGTTCAAGTAGTACACATCGACGATTAAATTAGAGAAGGTAGCTAGAGATGGTTTAGTCATGTCCAGCATCGACCTCCAGATGCACCGGTCTGTAGGTGTGAAACCACGGTGAATGAAGGTGTTAAAAGAGGACGAGGTAGACTTAAAATCACATGGAAGGAAGTTGTTTCGAAAGAACTACATATGTGGATCCATGCAGACTTAGCAAAAGATAGGGCAGAACGGAACAAGCAGATCTATATAGACGATACATATTAGTTGAGAATATGGTTCTAGATGTTAGCACTTTTGCCATAGGTCCTATGATTTCTAGGATGGTTTAGCCTTTTCAGAGATTTTATATGTTTACAAAATATAGAGCTTCTAATATTTTTTTATTTGTATTTACATAATACTGGCATGAGATGAGCTTAAGTGGAGTAACATGGTCAGTGAGGATTCATATAGCCGATCCCGACTTGTTTGGGACTGAGGCGCAGATGTTGTTGTAACACAAAAAATCAGGAACTAATACATAAGTAGCAATCATTTATTTAAAGTAACTTGATGGACACTGACCTGAATAATAGGATCTAGCAGAGCAGATATAGCTGGATCAAAGTCAGGCTTCTTTCCAGATGCAGGGAACATCATGCTATCATGTGTTTGAATAATTTCAAGCAGCACTGAAACTCCTTCCCTTAAAGCTGGTGGTGGAGAAAGATCAACAGCGACCAATGGAGGATACCTCAAAAGCTTCTCGCCCCGACTCTTTAGTATGTCAAAAAAAGTTTTTTGGGCCGCGTCCTTGAGCACCAGTAAGGTATTACATAGAGATGTTTCTTCCCCCAGCAAATCCGATATCTGCATTGGAAAAAGAGTTGAGTGCAAGGATAACTTAAAAAGGAGGGTGCAAGAAGATTGGATCGCTAGCAAAAGATTTCTACTCACTGTGTATAAATAGAACTCCAGTGTATTACTAAGCTTGTAAGAAATTATAAGATTAGGTTGAGAGTGCAAAACTTGTTCCACTCTAACTTTAAAAGGGCGGCAAACTCCTTCAAAAATCCTGTCTAGAACAAAAGTCAAATCGGTTTCTGTCTTTCCAGACTCACTATCTACGCCTTTGGGGTATTGATGACTAGTTGATCTAGTATCTGATGCATCAGGGTCAAGCAATGCAAGGACAAGCTCTCTTTCAGACGCCAATGCCTGTCATGAAGCAAAAACATGTACGAGATCAGATGCAGCAAGTCAATGCGCAGAAGACTCTTTTTTGTTTCATAACAGGAAAAACTTAAACATTATGATAAATCTATCACCTGATGCAACCATCCCAGCATGTCACCGACGTATCTTAAAGGATCGTGAGCATGCACTTCAATTGGCCTGGGAAGTCCACCAGGTCCTCCACGTGTGAGAGCACTTATAAATCTCCTAAACAACGCATTGTGCCTCATGTTTGCCACCTAATATTTCAGGATTTCATGAATATGAAATGTAGACAACATTGCAAAGTTGTTAAATAATCATTGTAGCTCTTAGTTAAGATAAGTTACCTCTTCCGCACAATATTTAAAAAGTACTGGTCTTTCCTTGAGACACCTGACTGCTGTTTTCAGAAGTTCTCCGACTTCAGGGTTATCAACATCACCAAGTCTCCTACACTCTGTCTGAACCCACCTAGCAAGAAAACCAGCAGAATGTCAACATAGTGGAAGGCTCAGATGACTGTTTATTGGTTAACACTTCTAAATTTTAAGTATCCATATAAGAAATTCTCTTTGATAAGGTAGTATCCATATAAGAAATTAGACAGATCATATGATTATGACCTACTAATAGTAGAAAGAATGACCAATTTGAAATAATTCAAGAAAACCAGACATCAATCACTGACAACACAGAGGCACACAAACAAAATAGAGCACAAATTTACAGAAAACTGAATTTGTAACCATGCATGGGTATTGTTGCAAGAGGCATAGAATAGATGGTACAAGGAGCAGATTGACAAAAGTAGATTATACAAGAAACAAATTGTTCATCAAATGATAGGTGTCTGAATACCGTGCCACACAATATACATTTTACCAGATAGCTATAGTGTTTTGACATTCCAGACATCAGCACAAAAGGTAAATCTTTTCGGTAGGCACTTAAATGAGAGGATATTGTGACTATGGAGTATGACATACGAAATGTCCGATGTTCAAGAGTCCATTGAGCCAGAGAAGAGTAACCTGCAAAGGCGTTCATATGCTCCTTCTTGATACATGGCCATCATATCCATGAGCTCCAAACCAGCGCGCTGCCAAGAGTATTTGAGTCAATTAAGCAAAAATAAATAAAGTTTGTCCTGGCCCTGTATCGAATTTTAATCTCTGGAAAAAATTTAGGCTGTGATCTTTTTTATACAAGTCAAACAACAACAACAACGACCCAGTAAAATCTCACACGGTGGGGTCTGTGGAGGGTAGTGTGTACGCAGACCTTACCCCTACCCCGATGGGGCAGAGAGGCTGTTTCTGATAGACCCTCTGCTTTTTATATAAGTCAAAGATTTTCATTAATAAACACCAACTAGGTGTTGCAAAGTACAAGATGTGCGTGTAACCCTACTTGAGTCATATAGTCTATCATTAGGAAAATATAATTGAAACTAGATGATTGAACTCTTATCAATTACCAATCACACAAGGGCTCTTGAAGGAAATATAACTCTTTTTCCAGAAGTTTCCTGGATATCCCTGGATCACTCATGTAGCCACTTGTATAGACAATTGGCAGTGATTTATTAATATGAACTTTAACTTTCAGATTTCAATGATCTATAGCTCTTGGACACAGGTCCATCCCTTTTTGTCCGCAAAATTTTCATACCTAATTTTTTTTCCAAAAAAGTGATCACATATATCTAAGTTGGACATAATTTTTATCAGATTAACACAACATTAGATAAAAATAAACTTTAAGTAATTCGAAACATTAGATGACAAAAGTTTCTACAACTGATGAACAGATATTTCAGAAGCAACTGGTTAATTTGTCTACTTTTTTTGGGGGTCGGTGAAGTTGGTTAATCTGGACTGAGATGAATTTAAATGGGGAAACATGAATATACCCGACTCTAACTTGTTTGGGACTGAGGACTAATTATTGTTGTTGCAATTGGTTAATCTGTTATAATTAGTGGGATAAGAAAATTAAAAAGAACATCAAAATATGTCCAGCATCGAGTCCCATTATTCCATGAGGAAATAAAATCCATCAATCAAGATGAGGATCTTCCATTCACCATTCCAAAAGCTGGATGAGACATGTAGTCTGGATCAGATAATGTCACAAGCTATGTTCAATTGATAGGGAAGGAGATACGCACTGCACATGTCATTCAAATTTAGAGGCTTCAATCATAAAATATAATTATCTTAACCTCCCTGAATCAAAATATCCTTTCATGCACAACCAAATGGAATAAAGAACTGCTGAACATAGTGAGTTATTCTCAAAAAGCAATGTGAAAAGAAGCTATTCCACAACGAAATGTGCATTTATTTGTTTGCTATAGAAGAAAGGTCATATGTCAAATTTCCTTTTTAAAACAAAAAACCTTGAACAGTTGCATTTGTGTCAAGGCGAGTCTTAAAGTTTGCTTTCTATGTTCCCTGCCCCACCTCCTTTTCTTTGCTGGCTAGTGATTTGAGAAGGTCAGAGATAAATTTAGGGATATATTCATACACTGTATAAAGAGACAGAGAGAGAAGTTTACTTGGTGGTGTGTCCTGAGAAGCACTTTGCAGTTGGCATGAATTTCTTGAACATGAGCAAGCGCCTTAAAAAAATTCTCATCAAGGTCTTCTTCCCTAAGAGCATTTATCTACATCAACGAAAAGCTGCAAATCAAACACAACTAAAACAAATAATCTGTTACTGAAATAGGATCGAACTCAAAAGGAATGACTAAAACCTCTTCTGGGGATAGCTGATAATCACGAAGAAAGCATGATACAATTTCTTGCCTCTGTGTAGTACTTTCAAATTCCTGTTTCAGCCGTTCTGTGGTACTAATAATATCACCTGTCGTGGCATTGCAACTGCTTAAAGCCAGTGCAATTCTGAAAATTCAGGCATTACAAGAACACATGTCAGAACAACTTTTCTTTAATTGATGTAACAGCAAGGAGACTTAATACTGAATGACAGTGTAAACAAGGTAATTTAACTAGCTGTAGCATGTTCTCCTCCTTATTTTCCAAGTAACTAGTTCCACTGATCACAGGTGACCAGATAGCATTAAAGTTAAACTCAATCCAAACATATTAATCAGAAGACCAAAAGTTGTATAATACTTAGCAATTGCTTACTTGTCACAGCATTCAACGATCGAATTGACTTCTTCTTCAACTCGATCCAACGCCTAATAAAAAAGGAAACTCAATTCAACTCTAGAAGTTCTTATTCGAATAATTAAATCCAAAAAAGGGTACCTTCTGAGCAGCAGTGGAGGAAAGAAGGAACTCTTCATTTATAGATAGAGAACGCTTCTCAATAGTGGATCGGAGGTTACGGCGAGAATGAGGTGTGTTTTCGGTGTAGAATGTGGAGAGAGTATTCAGCGATGCGAGCAGATCCGGCGTGTCTGTTCGAGTTTCCAGCACTTTCTTCAGCTTCCGTGATAGCCCCGGTGCCAATGCCATCGCCGACCACCGTCGATTTCCGCTGCCGGTGATAAGCTATAGATATATTAATTTGTATGTATATGTATAGAGACAGAAGCTCTTCAAGTGAACTGATCGGAGTTACAGATCTCTTCGTCTTCCTAACTAACGGTGGAAAAAGAGTAACAGAGTGAAAATGAACATGGGCTTAGATGGGCCATGTAACATTTTGATTTGGGCTTTTTACTTATGGGCATTTTTTCATACCTAGAATTAGAAATTTTATTACTAAAAGTATTTATGTTTACTTAATTACCCGACCTACCCATGTTTAGACTACAAAATATATACATTTTTGTAAAGTAGAATCCTTTCTACATTAGCCTTCCAATTTTAGACGCGGAAAATTGGGATCACAGAGGATTCTTCGGAGAATTTACTGACGCAATTTCCGCAATTTAATTACGTCGATTTACTCTTATCAACGTCGCGCAATCAAAGCTCAATACTTTAATTTTTTCTCATCAACGTCGCACAATCAAGTTCAATATTCTGATTTTCTCTATCTCCTCTGGTTTCAAAATCAGAAACGAAGATCGGCGAAAAAAAATTGCAAACAATTGTCTTCAATAGTATTGAATTCGGCAATATAATGACAAATTTAGCTATTTTGCTTCAACTAAATGGTCATTGGGATAGTGTTGGTAGGTACAACGATTTTAATGTTGATGGAATTGTAGTCAGCGAGGATTCAAATTACAATCAATTGAATTATGCAATTGCAGAGCATCTAATGATCAATACTTCTGAGAAAATCATCAAAATCAAATACATTGTCAATGAACGTTGTCCTCCAATGGAAATTAGGAACGATATAGGAGTTCGAGTATACATGGAAACCAAAAAGGAAAACAGAAGCTTAGGAATGTATCCGCTGTGTTCGAGCATACAGGGGAATAATGTTAACAGTCAGCACAATGGATGCAACAGGTATTGTAGATTCTTTGTAGAAATATTGTTGTAAAGTTGTTTTCAGTATCTAGTTTTTATACTATCAAATTTTTTTACAGAAATTGATTTTCTTTTTGCCACATGTGTGATAGGTAGCATATTACCACTAGCATACGTTGTTGTTGGTTCAGAAGATGACGCAGCATGGAATTCGCTTTTTGAGCAATTTAAAGATGCGTATGGTAAAAAACCTAATATGTGTGTTGTTTCGGATAGGAATGAGAGTATCTTGAAGGCAACATCTATTGTTTATACCAGAATGCCACATTATGCTTGCATGTGGCACATTTGGACAAATATAAGGTCAAAGTTTAAGAAGGATCATCTAAAATTAAGCGAATTGTATTTTGCCACGACACGATCATACACAATTGATGAATTTAATGAAAGAATGTCAAAGATTGAAGAGATCGACGTGCGCGTTAAAGCATACCTATACGATATTGGTTACCACAGATGGTCTTGGGTACATGCTACGGTGAACAGAACATGGACGATGACGTCAAACATTGCAGAGTCATTGAATGCGGTAACAAGAGATGCAAGAGAGCTGCCCATATTAGATCTATTAGAGTACATGAGGACTTTTCTTGAAAGTTGGAATAATGAAAAGTTATTGAAAGCAAAGGGTACATTCACATACCTTGGGGAAAAATACAACAAAGAGTTGGAGGACAACAGGACATTATCGCAGAAGATGAGAGTAAGCTATATCCAGTAACATCAGATCTAATTGTAGATAACTTGTAGTAAAATTGTTGTTATTTTGTATATATTGCTGACAATTAGTTGTGTGCTTGTAATGAATTTGTAGGTGAGGGCTTCAACAGACCACATCCATACAGTGCTAGATGGTGCGAAGCGCTTTATTGTTTGCCTTCAAAACAAGAGATGTTGTTGTGGATAGTTCCAGCTTGACGAACTTTCTTGTCCACATGCTTTGGCGGCCTTGAGGCACAGGGATGAGTCTTATGAAAACTATTGTTCTCCGTATTACACGAGGGAGAGTCTTTTGAAGACTTATGAAACACCAGTAGACCCGCTGCCTGACGAAAGCAAATGGAATGTGCCATAACATGTAGCCGAAGAAGTTGTAAAGCTACCAATTGGGAAAAGAAAGCCAGGGAGACCTCAGAAACAAAGATATAACCATTTGATGAAGTAAAAGCAAAGAAGTACAAGGTTTCATGTGAAAACTGTGGGCTAAAAGGGCATAACAAAAGATCTTGTAAGAATGCACCCAAAAGGAAATAAAAATTGATTAAGTAACTACAATTTTTTGATAGATTGTATTGAGGTGTTCTGGAGAATTATAGTTGAGTTGCAATTTTGTTGATAAATTGAATATAGACCATCTCCTATAATGAAATGTTTTCAACTCTTAATGCAATTGGTTTGTTATTTTTTTTGTTGAACTACATTTCTTGAGCCAACATCCTTAGGGTGGATTCATCACATCAACAGTAAGAGAATGGGAACGAAATTCCCAGTTTCACAAAACTCAACTATAAAATCAGCAAGTGTTGCAGCACTCTTAGACAGACTAATCAGATAAGGAACATCTGCAAATCCGCATCCTAGGGACATCAATATCTCCCCAGCCTACTGACTTAATACATAGTGAAACATTATAAATGTATTTAAGTTGTAAAGAAATTATATGTTAAAAATAATGAAACAAAGGGTACCAACACAAAAAGTACTTCATAGTGTACTAACAATTTTGAACCAAAAAAGGATCTTCACAGTGTTTTCGATTTAAAGTAGTAATTTCCTGGACAAAAATAACAAAACTAAAGGTAAAACAATTTTAGCACAAATCTGCTACAAATATGTTTCAACTGACTTGTTCTAAGTTAAAAATTTGTTTACAACTTTACTACAAGCCCACTACACCTACACATTTTAACTACAATTTTTCTAGGGAAACTAATTCTTCTTCTTCTTCCGGACTTCTGTTCTCTCATTTGTAGCTGGTGGACCTTTTCTTCTTGCTAATCTTCCAGTCACCTCACTCTCACTAATTGCACCAATCTCTTGCTTTTTCCTAGCATAATCTCAAAGTAGAGCTCCATAGCGTCTACGATGTTAATCAATATTAGAAAAGTCTTCTTTTGAAATCAATAGCTCTCCAATGCTGACATATTCAACAAATGCCGCAACTTATACACCACAGTCACTGCAAACAGAAATTAAGGGAAAAGATTTAGCGTTCAGAGGTTGAATAAAATCTGTTAAATAAATAGAAGGAAAAGCAGCTTTTTCATACAGTGGTCCCTCTTTTTGCTGGGGTATCTCACCGATCAACCACTGAATATCAAGAGGGTCAGTAACACCTTTTTCAATGTATGCCTTTGTGTTCTTGTAGTTGATGTTTGGACGCTTGCCATAAAATCCAGTGGATGACAAGTATAGGGGGATCATTGTTGAAAATTTGTTGACAACAGATTCAATAATGATGTGATTGTGTGAAGAGACCATAAAATCATAAATATATAGAACCCTTTCGGTAATGTCAAAAATAGCCAACAACCAATGAAATTTTTCTACAATGTTTGTGGGCATAATCAAAAAATCAACTTGATCACATGCAACATTTGCAAGTAGTCTGTACCCCAATATGTATTTTGCTATGACGTCCTGGGATTTGACAACAACAAACTTCTTATCGTCAGGAGCATTAATGTATTTTTCATAAATTTGTTCAATTCTAGTCTTGAAAATACAGTCAATGGTTGTAAATCGTGTTTTGTTCACAGGACCATACTTTCCTCTCTTCCTCAAATAGTATAAAATAACATCAATGTGCTGCAAAAAAAAAAACAAAGTTCATTATTTCTTAATGCTTCAAACAAATTAACTACACTTTTTAAACAAAAAAAACTACAATATTCTCCAATAATAGAATACTACAGCTAGTCATTTCATTCTGCTAGGGTATGTGTTTACCGTGTTGTTGAGAACTTGTCCTGGATGTGCTAAAGTGTAAAATTGCTCTTTTTTTATCAACTTTCTCCACTCCAAGTTCATACCACGGCTTAAGATGGTTATCTTTTATAGAATAAGGCACCTTCTTCCTATATAAAAATATAGAAATTACAATAAATATGTAGATTCAACTGGAAATCAAAAAATTATATGAACTCTATAATATCAAAACTTGTATAATATAACCTCTTTGACCCCGTATCGGCACTAGAGTATAACCAGTTATTGAATTCTTCCAACAAGTCAGGATCAACATCGTCGCCAATTACCTCAGTAAATGGATGCTTGATGAGGAAAATTGGAGGTCCTTCTGAAGTGCTCCCCCAGAACTGTAAAAAGGGAGAAAGGGGGATCTGGCATGCTTTCCAGGCTGCCTTGTTCTTGCTTGTAAAGCAGGGGTTGTGTCATCTTGGATAGACTCGCCAAACTTAACAATCTGAGAGAAGTTCTCTGGAAGCTCAAAATCATCAAGTGTTACTTCCTTTTTTTTTCAGATCTGCAGTCATCTGAATTACCTACATTAATGTACTCAGTTGGTTCACCTTCAAAATTTAAAACAAAAGAATAAGAAGAAATCTTGCATCAGTTCTTCAACAAAAATTGAAACAAATTGTCAAACCTTTTTTTCCCTATAACTGTAATGTAACATGTAATACCACTGAAATATTCACAGCAATCGTCTACTGGTGGTATAACATTTTCTTGTTGAATGGGAGATTGAATTTTTGTTGTCTCCTTCTCCTTATTTAAATGCTCTCCTGGAATGCCAATATTAGCTTCCTGTTTTGGAGAGTCCACATGCATGGTTTCCTTCTCTGTTACAATAAATGTGTGCAACTTAATTAATTTGTAGGAAGCATTAACAAAAATGTGGATAAATTATAGTGAAAGTATAGTAAATTTGTAGAAATGTTGTCCTGCATTTGATATGAAAAACAAATATGATGATAACATGTACTAAATCATACCTGCATTTTCTTCATCAAATGTTCCTTCAAATTTCGAAGACAAATCAACACCTACAAGAACATTCTTCTCAATTTGAATGTCATTCAGGTATTCTGTATCTAAGAAAATTATTGGAAATATAATGTAGATTAGTTGTTAGTAAGTTGGGATATATGTAGATTTAATGTAGAAATAATGTAGATACCTTTTTTACTACAG